CTCTGGGTTTCAGTAGGTCGCATTTAAAGTTCTGAGCGACGGGGACTCCATTACTTCGTTAGGCGCTTTCTTCCTGATCACGCCTCTGAGAGCACTGCCCTCGTCCCTGGGCCTCTACATCAGAGTTAAGGATACTGAGGCTCAAGGCTGAACTGCTCCACATCTCCCAGTTGATCAGGGTCCTGCTGGCTGGGCCCCAGTGCTCTGTCCAGGTTCTGAGCAATCAGTGTGGATAGGGGGCTGGAGATATTGAGTCTTAAGGGCTCAGGACAGAAGGTTCTGGCTCGCAATCTCAGTATTCCTGGGTTGGGTGTGGACGTGGGACCTTCCTGGTGGGGTAAACAGGAGGGTACTTGCCCTTCCCAATGTGAGTGGAGAGGACATGGGGCTTCTGTTTCTCTGTCCTAAGTGGGAAAGGAGCTCTGAGGTCTGGCCCTGCACAGAGGAGGGGGCACTGGAGACTCATTGACCCACTGCTGTACCTTCTGCATCTTACTCACTGCCCACTGCCTTTTTCTCTTCCTTACAGGTGGCTCCTGCACGTGCGCCGGCTCCTGCAAGTGCAAAGAGTGCAAATGCACCTCCTGCAAGAAGAGTGAGTGCGGGACCATCTCCAGGAATCTGGGGCTGTGGCTAAGATTGGGAGGGAACTCAAGGCTGACCCTGAGTGCTTCCTTCTGGGGAACTGGGATTTCTTTGCCCCTGTTGACCATGTCATTCCCTCTCCATGCTTTCTGCCCTGAGTTCAGATGGGGCAGGGAAGCATTTTTCTTTTGGGACACAACCCCCAACTGTACCCCCTATGGTTTCAGAACAGAGCTGTGCCAGACAAAAAAAGCATCCTCTGGGTCTGGCGTCTGAGCTCAAGCCAGGCTTGCTATTGGGACAGGGAGGTGCCTGGTCCAGTCTACTGCCACCTCTCACTCTCCCCTTCTTCCCCAGGCTGCTGCTCCTGCTGCCCCGTGGGCTGTGCCAAGTGTGCCCAGGGCTGTGTCTGCAAAGGGGTGTCGGAGAAGTGTAGCTGCTGTGCCTGATGTGGGGACAGCTCTGCTCCCAGATGTAAATAGAGCAACCTGCACAACCTGGATTTTTTTTTTAATACAACCCTGAGCCATTTTCTGCATTTCTTTTTATATTAAATATGTGATTGTTTTATTGTCATAAAACAATTTTGACTTGAATCTTTCTCTGTTCTTTGTGTGTCTTGGAAAAAATGGACTGGGTGGGGGTTGAACCAGGAGTTTAGAGACCAGGCTCTGGATGGAAATGTGAGTCACTAACAATGTTAACACTTTCAGGCCAGCCAGGTTACCTGAGTTCACACTTCTGTAAAATGGCATTGCACTGTGCACACCATTTTGGTGGGAGTGGGGCGGGCATATATGATCGCTTCCAGTCTTATGTCAAATGTGGCACAGAAACTTCATTCCTCATTTTTATTTTCTGATTTTCCTGCTCAACTTCAGATCCACATTGGATTTTAGGCTTAAAAGCAGCTACAGACTGGGCGCGGCTACTCAGGAGGCTGAGGCAGGAGAATGGCGTGAACCCGGGAGGCGGAGCTTGCAGTGAGGCGAGATCACGCCATTGCACTCCAGCCTGGACCACAGAGCGAGACTCCGTCTCAAAAAAAAAAAAAAAAAAATATATGGCTACAGGCCGGGCGCGGTGGCTGACGCCTGTAATCCCAGCACTTTGGGAGGCCAGCTGGGTGGATCACAAGGTCAGGAATTCGAGACCATCCTGGCTAACAGGGTGAAAACCCGTCTCTACTAAAAAAAAATACAAAAAGCCGGGCGTGGTTGCAGGCGCCTGTAGTCCCACTACTAAGGAGGCTGAGGCAGGAGACTGGCATGAACCCGACAGGCGGAGCTTGCAGTGAGCCCACATCGCGCCACTGCACTCCATCCAGCCTGGGCGACAGAGAGAGACTCCATCTCAAAAAAAAAAAAAAAAAAAAAAATGGCTACTATAATCTCAGCACTTTGGGAGGCCAGGTGGGCGGATCACGAGGTCAGGGGTTTGAGACCAGCCTGGCCAACATGGTGAAACCCTGTCTCCACTAAAGATATAAAAAATTAGCTGCACGTGATGGCACGTAGCTATAATCCCAGCTACTGGGGAGGCTGAGGCAGGAGAATCACTTGCACCTGGGACACAGAGGTTGCAGTGAGCCGAAATCCGCCATTGCACAGGGTGGAAAATGAGGGCAACAGGGAGAGACTCCATCTCAAAAAAAAAAAGTGGCTACAGTGCTGGAACCCAAGTCCCCAGTTCCTTGAATCCTACATGGGTGCTATGATTTGGATGTTTCGTTACTGCCAAATCTCATGTCAAAATGTGACCTGCAATATTGGAGGTGGGACCTAGTGGAAGGTTTTGGGGACATGAGGACAGATCCCTAAAGAATGGCTTGGTGCCATCCCATGGTGAAGTGTGAGTTCTTCCTCCGGTATTTCACTCCTGAGCTGGCTGTTTAAAAGAGCCAGGCACCATCTCTTTTTCTTGTTTCTTGTCTCTCCACCGGACGTGCCTGATCCTTGTTGGCCTTCTGCCAGGAATATGGGCTTCCTGCGACCCTCACCAGAGGCAGATGCCAGCACCACACTCTGCACAGCCTGAAGAAGCTTAAGAGAATCGCTTGAACCCCGGAGGCAGAGGTTGCCATGAGCCAAGACTGCACCACCGCACTCCAGCCTGGGCAACTGAGACGCTGTCTCAAAAAAAGAAAAGAAACAGCAAAATGGCCCCAGTGTGTGGCTCACACACCTTGAGCAGCACTGCCCAGCACATCCCCACAAGGAACCATCAGGCTTGGTCTGCCCAGTGCCACTGACAGGACACTCGCTGACCCCTGAGAGCTCCCTGTTGTGACTTGGCTCTGAATCTTTGGAAATTCCTCCCAAACTCAGGCTGAATTTGCCCTTCTTTCAAATTTCATGTCGGATACAGAAGAATGACTGCCCTTTCTGTTACTACTTGCACCATCTTTTAGGTAATATTTTATATAGAAATGATTATTTTCTTACACATACTTTTATGAAGAGCAAACTCTTTTCCGCCAGAAAAAAATGAAAATCAATCTTGTGCCACACATGGAAGATAGCCCCAAATTAATATGTGTGTGTGTGTATTACACTTATGGATTGCTTTTGCAATCGTGGTAGAGCTGGTAGCTTCCTGTTGCTTATTTGGGGAGTTTTTGGTTGTTTTTGTTTTTGAGACAGAGTTTTGCACTTGCCACCCAGCTGGAGTGCAATGGCGCAATCTGCAAGCTCTGCCTCCAAGGTTCAAGTGATTCTCCTGTCTAGCCTCCCGAGGAGCTGGGATTACAGGAGACCGCCACCATGCCCAGCCAATTTTTGTATTTTTAGTGGAGACGGGGATTCACCATGTTAGCCAGGCTAGTCTCGAACACCTCACCTCAGGTGATCCATCTGCCACAGCCTTCCTAAATGCTGGGATTACTGGTGTGAGGCACCTTGCCCGGCCCCTGTTGTTTAAAAGATTTCCAGCAGTACAAAAGTGTTGATGATATACCTGGGCCAAAGGAAGGCTTTATCATGGACACTTTCCTTTAAGAGGCTGGCTGGATTTAAATCAGTGCACAGCTTTTTATCTCTGTGAAGACCAGCCAGTTACTTGGACTCTTTTCTTTGTAGTCCTGTGATTAGCAAAACGGGTTCATAGATAGTATTTCCATTTAGTATTGCTGTGAGGATTCAAAGAATGAAAGAGATTAAAAAGGGACTGATATAGACTCTATGTTATGCAATAGTCAGCTATACTGAAGAGAAATAACTGTATCTCTTGCTTTTTAATTGTTTGTTTTTTTTGTTTGTTTGTTTGTTTTTTGTTTTTTTTTGAGATGGAGTCTGGCTCTGTTCCCCAGGCTGGAGTCCAGTGGGGCAATCTCAGCTCACTGCAAGCTCCGCCTCCTAGGTTCACGCCATTCTCCTGCCTCAGCCTCCTGTGTAGCTGGGACTACAGGCGCCTGCCACCGCGCCCGGCTAATTTTTGTATTTTTAGTAGAGACGGCGTTTCACCGTGTTAGCCAGGATGGTCTCGATCTCCTGACCTCGTGATCCGCCCGTCTCGGCCTCTCAAAGCGCCAGGATTACAGGCGTGAGCCACTGCGCCCGGCCTTTAATTGTATTTTTTTAAAAGACGTTGACTGTCTATGTTGTCCAGGCTGGACTCGAACTACTGGGCTCAAGTGATCCTGTCACCTCAGCCTCCTAAGTAGCTGGGACTACAGCTTCTCGCCACCTCACCCATCTTGCTTTTTAATGTAAAGCACGGTCTGCATATCATCTGAAGTCATCTCTCTTTGGGGACATCCCACATGTCCAGAACTGCCAGGCGGTACTGTGGTGGCCCGTTAGGCTGTGGGGAGCATGGAGACTTATCTGCAAACGAGGACCTGGACAAATGTGCCCACACATCCTCTCAGGCGAGGAGAATGGACGGGAGAGAGAGGCCGACCTGTGTTCCCCGTGTTGCTGTGTACGGAGGAGGGGGTCCGAGGGACCGCAGTGTAGACAGGGACAGGCAAGGCGGGGGACGAGGAGAAACGAAAGCCACATCGGTGGCGGGTGCTCTGCACACAACTCGCTCGCTACCGCAGGCTCCCCGCTCGCTCGGCACTCAGCCGATCCCGGGACGGGAGCAGGAGGGCTGCACACGGGCTCTGGGACAGGCCCAGCTGAAAACGGTGGGAGGGGTGGAGTGAAGACAGCGACGCCAAGGTTGGGGTCCCGGAACACGCGGGGAGAAAGCTGGTAAGCAACCGCGGGGAAACTGGGAAGGCCAGCATTGACCTCTGGGAAGCCAGCCGCACAGCCCTTTCCCGCGCGAGCTGCCGAAAAAAGGGGGCGGTCCCGCGGTGAGCACAGCGCAGAGCTCAGGGTATGATGCGCCCGGCTCTTTTGCTGCGCACAGCCCAGCCCGGGAACGTGGGCAGCGGGCACTCAGAGGGGCGGGAGCAAGCGCGGGGCGGGACGTCTGCACCCGGCCCCACCTCGGTCTAAAAGAGGAGCAGCCGGCTGCCGGGTTCCAGCGCGCATTCCAGCTGCCTGACCTCCTGTTCGAGTCTTTGGTGGGAGCTCCAGCATCTCCTTGGCTCGAAATGGACCCCAACTGCTCCTGCACTGCTGGTAAAGGAAGCGAGTCTCTGCGCCCTGGGATCCCCATTTCCCAGCTCCAGTACAGAGGATCTCTGGGTTTTAGGAGGTCGCACTTTAACTTCTGAGCGGAAGAGGACTCCTTTACTTCGTTAGGTGCTTTCTTCCTGATCACGCCCCTGAGAGCACTGCCCTCCTCCCTGGGCCTCTACATCTGAGTTAAGGATACTGAGGCTGAAGGCTGAACTGCCCCACATCACCCAGTTGGTCAGGGTCCTGCCGGCTGGGCTCCAGTGCTCTGTCCGGGCTACGAGCAATCAGGGTGGATGGGGGGCTGGAGATATTGAGTCTTCAGGGTTCAGGACAGAAGGTTCTAGCTCGCAATCTCAGTATTCCTGGGTTGGGTTTGCACCTGGGAGCTTCCTGGTGGGGTAAACAGGAGGGTGCTTGCCCTTCCCAGCGTGAATGGAGAGGACATGCGGCTTCTGTTCCTCTGTCCTGAGTGGCAAAGGAGCTCTGAGGTCTGGCCCTGCACAGAGGAGGGGGCACTGGAGACTCATTGACCCGCTGCTGTACCTTCTGCATCTCACTCACTGCCCACTGCCTTTTTCTCTTCCTTGCAGGTGGCTCCTGCACGTGCGCCGGCTCCTGCAAGTGCAAAGAGTGCAAATGCACCTCCTGCAAGAAGAGTGAGTGCGGGACCATCTCCAGGAATCTGGGGCTATGGCTAAGGTTGGGAGGGAACCCAAGGCTGTCAGTGAGTGCATCCTTCTGGGGAACTGGGATTTCTTTGCTCCTGTTGACCATGTCATTCCCTCTCTAGGCTTTCTGCCCTGAGTTCAGATGGAGCAAGGAAACGTGTTTCTCTTGGGACACAAACCTCAACTGTACCCCCTATGGTTTCAGAACATAGCTGTGCCAGACAAAAAAAGCATCCTCTGGATCTGGCGTCTGAGCTCGAGCCAGGCTTGCTATTGGGGCAGGGAGGCGGCTGGTCCAGTCTACTGCCACCTCTCACTCTCCCCTTCTTCCCCAGGCTGCTGCTCCTGCTGCCCTGTGGGCTGTGCCAAGTGTGCCCAGGGCTGCATCTGCAAAGGGGCGTCGGAGAAGTGCAGCTGCTGTGCCTGATGTGGGGACAGCTCTGCTCCCAGATGTAAACAGAGCAAACTTCACAACCTGGATATTTTTTTTTAATACAACCCTGAGCCATTTTCTGCATTTCTTTTTATATTAAATATGTGATTGTTTTATTGTCATAAAAGAATTTTGACTTGAATCTTACTCTGGTCTTCTTTGTGCACCTTGGAAAAAATGGGCTGTGTTGGGTGTTAAACCAGGAGTTTAGAGACCAGGCTCTGGATGGAAATGGGAGCCACCAACAATGTAAACACCTTCAGGCCAGCTACTGAGTTTACACTTTTATAAAATGGTATTACACTGTGCACACCATATGGGTGGGAGTCATACATGATCGCTTCCTGTCTCATGTCAATGTGGCACAGGAACTTCATCATTTTTATTTTCTGATTTTCTTGCCCAACTTCAGATCCAAATTGGATTTTAGGCTTAGAAGTAGTACAGTGCTGGAACCCAACTCCTCAGTTCCTTGAATCCTACGTGGGTACCATGATTTGGATGTTTTGTCAGTGCCAAATCTCATGTTGAAATGTGTCCTCCAATATTGGAGATGGGATCTAGTGGGAGGTTTCAGGGTCATGAGGACAGATCCCTAAAGAATGGCTTGGTGCCATCCCATGGTGAAGAGTGAGTTCTTCCTCTGGTAGGTCACTCCAGAGCTGGCTGTTTAAAAGAGCCAGACACCGTCCCCTTTTCTCTCTTGTTCCCTGTCTCCCCACGTGTTGTGCCTGTTCTCCCTTGGTCTTCGACCAGGATTGCAGGCTTCCTGCAGCCCTCACCAAAGGCAGATGCCTGTACCACACTTAGGCACAGCCTGCAGAAGCGGAAGTCATAACAAACTTCCCTTTGTAAATTACCTAGTCTCAGGGATTCCCTTATAGCAACGCAAACAGGCTAACACAATGGGGCTTTTCAAACACTGTGGTGAAGGGACAGTTTTTATTTCCTATCTATCACAGGCTTAAACCTTGGTAAATGTAATAGTGTTGATTATGGAGATAATGAAATACAACATAAAATACAAAAGTCATTTTTCAGATTCAATGAGAAATAATTCAATAAATAGCCGGGTGTGGTGGCTCACACCTGTAATCCCAGCACTTTGGGAGGCTGAGGTGGGCAGATTATGAGGTCAGGAGATCCAGACCATCCTGGCTAACATGGTGAAACCCTGTCTCTACTAAAAATACGAAAAAATTAGCCACATGTGGTGGCAGGCACCTGTAGTCCCAGCTACTAAGGAGGCTGAGGCAGGAGAATGGCGTGATCCAGGGAGGCAGAGTTTGCAGTGAGCCAAGATCACACCACTGCACTCCGGGTGACAGAACAAGACTCCATCTCAAAAAAAAAAAAAAAAAAAAAATTCAATAAATAACAGGAAATGAAAGATGTACAAACTTTGAACATATGATGATGTGCATTGCAGACCAGAAATAGCAAATTAGACCAGTTGTAGTGGCTCAGGCCTCTAATCCTAGCACTTTGGGAGGCCATGGTGGGTATAACACTTGAGGCCAGGAGTTCAAGACCACCCTGGCCAACATGATGAAATCTCATCTCTACTAAAAATACAAAAATTAATTGGGCATGATAGCATGTAATCCCAGATACTTGGGAGGCTGAGGCAGAACAGTCACTTGAACGCTGGAGGCGGTGTTTGCAGTGAGCCAAGATTGCGACACTGGACTCCAGCCTGGGCAACAGACTCCCTGTTGTGACTTGGCTCTGAATCTTTGGAAATTCCTCCCAAACTCAGGCTGAATTTGTCCTTCTTTCAAATTTCAGCCCTTGACTACTTCCAACCAGTAAAGTGACTAGGAATATGGAAGGACATGCCCGGCATGTTCCTGGCAAAATGAAGTATGTGTGATCATGGGTTCCACATGAAATGCTTCACGCCTGCCCATGCAGGAATGACAGCAGATTCTGCAGTTTGGAGGGTGTGGTGGTGCTCAGTAGGAAGTAGTGAGGCCCTGGCTGACTTGTAATTAAAGCCAACAATAAGTTCCCCTGGCTATGTGGAGGAAATGTTATTTGACAATCAGTCAAAGAGGAAGATGATCCTCCTGGCCTAGAGGTCAGGAGCACGCTTGCCCACTGCTTCCCTGTGAAGAGGAGATTTCAGAAGGCAGCTTGCAGCTAGGGTGTGGGTTTTGGTGTCAGGCAGTCCTGGTTCACAGCCCACCTCACCATGTACTGGCTGTGTGGCCTGAGTGCATCACTGAAACTCTCTGAACTTCCAGTTCCTTATTTGTAGAAAACAGATTATATCTCAAAGCAGGGATTAAATGACAGCATGGTCTGGCCCCTGGCTAGGGTTTAATAAATAGTAGCAGTTATGCCGGGCGCGGTGGCTCAAGCCTGTAATCCCAGCACTTAGGGAGGCCGAGACGGGTGGATCACGAGGTCAGGAGATCGAGACCATCCTGGCTAACACGGTGAAACCCCGTCTCTACTAAAAATACAAAAAACTAGCCGGGCGAGGTGGCGGGCGCCTGTAGTCCCAGCTACTCGGGAGGCTGAGGCAGGAGAATGGCGTGAACCCGGGAGGCGGAGCTTGCAGTGAGCTGAGATCCGGCCACTGCACTCCAGCCCGGGCTACAGAGCAAGACTCCGTCTCAAAAAAAAAAAAAAAAAAAAAAAAAAAAAATAGTAGCAGTTATGATCATTCTCTATACACTGGTTTTTTCAGAAAATGAATCCTGTTAAATCCCAAAGCTAAGAGAAACCTTATGGGTTTGAAAGCATTGGTGTGGATTGGATGCTGGGAATGGAATTGTAACCAAGCTGACCCAGCCAGGGGGAGTGTGGCGACCTTCTAAAGAAAATGCCTTTCAATAAGATGCTGCCCCCACCTTTGAGCAGACATAAAATCCGTTCCCATCCTTCATATCATCTGATCACATGACCTCAGGAACGACAGCCACAGGCCTCAAGACTGGGACAGCAAATATGCATGGCCTGGAGTGCTTATGTTGTCTTCCAGATTAGTTAAGTAACATATCAAATGTCACATAGCTCAGAAGTAAAGGCATGAATGAACTTATGCTACACCTGGCCTGTGGCCCTGGCTACAGCTGGTAGATTATGATGCCACTGGACGCTAAATCTTGCCTATCTCAGTTCAAAGATACCAAGGCTCTTTGGGATGGAGGAACATGGCTCTTGGCTTGACAGATGAGAACTGAAGCCCAGAGAGGCCACAGAGCTGTGCATGACTGTCCACAGAGAGCACTTTCTACTGCTGCCTCTGTGCTAGGTTTTCCCTGTCCTTATCCTTCATGTAACTTGGTGGCAGAGGGTGGTGGGTGAGTGTATGATGCTGCCATCAGCATGCATGAGTGCAAATCCCACCTCTGTTACTTTTAGCTGCATGACACAACCTGTTTATGACTCAGTCTCCTCACTGTACAAAGGGCATAATACTAACTTCTGGCATATAGGATTAAAGGATTTAGTGCCTATAAGCAACTTAGAATGGTGTGAGGGGTGGGTGCTCTACAATTTTAGCTATTGCTTTTTTAAAATCATTTTATGGAGCATATGAGATATTTATTTATTTATTTGCACACAGAGACCTGGAGTGTTCAGCTATGTATCCTGTTATTCTCATCTACCACATGAACACATGTCCTGTGGTCCAGAAAGAGCCATTCAGTGTTCCCACAAAATTGTAATCAACACTAGGGTGATAAAGCTATGAGCAAGACTCTGTGCTTCATGTCAGATACAGAAGAATGACTGCCCTTTCTGTTACCACCCGTATCATCTTTTAGTTGATATTTTACACTGAAGTGGTTAATACTTTCATAAACATATTTTTATGAAAATCAAACTCTTTTCCATCAGAGAAAGTGAAAATCAATCTTGTCCCACACATGGAAGATAGCCCCAAATTAATGTGTGTGTGTGTGTGTGTTACACTTATGGATCGCTTTTGCCACTGTCCATCATAGAGCTGGTAGCTTCCTGTTGTTTATTTGGGTTTTTTTTTCCTCTATTTTTTGAGACAGACCACACCTTCTTCGCCCAGCTGGAGTGCAATGACCCAAGCTGCCACCTCTGCCTCCCGGGTTCAAGTGATTTTCCTGCCTCAACCTCCTGAGCAGCTGGGATTACAGGCAACCACCAGCACGCCAGGATAATTTTTGTATTTTTAGTGGAGACAGGGTTTCGCCATGTTAGCCAGGCTGGTCTCCCACTCCTGACCTCAGTTGATTCATCCGCCTCGGCCTTTCTAAGTGCTGGGATTACAGGTGTGAGCAGCCGGGCCCGCCCCTGTTGTTTAGAAGATTTCCAGCAATAGAGAAGCGTTTTTTTTTTTTTTTTTTGAGACGGAGTCTGGCTCTGTCACCCAGGCTGGGGTGCAGTGGCCAGATCTCAGCTCACTGCAAGCTCCGCCTCCTGGGTTTACGCCATTCTCCTGCCTCAGCCTCCCGAGTAGCTGGGACTACAGGCGCCCGCCACCTCGCCCGGCTAGTTTTTTGTATTTTTTAGTAGAGATGGGGTTTCACCGTGTTAGCCAGGATGGTCTCGATCTCCTGACCTCGTGATCCGCCCATCTCGGCCTCCCAAAGTGCTGGGATTACAGGCTTGAGCCACCGCGCCCGGCCAGATACCTGGGCTAAAGGAAGGCTTGATCATGGACACTTTCCTTTAAGAGGCTGGCTGGATTTAAATCAGTGCACAACTATTTACCTCTGTGATGACCAGTCAGTTACTTGGACATTTCCTTTTAGTCCCAGGATTAGCAAAACGGGTTCATAACTAGTATTTCCCTTTAGGATTGCTGTGAGGATTCAAAGAATGAAAGAGATTAAAAGGTAATAGAATAGATGCAATGTTATGCAACAGTCAGGTATGCTGAAGAGAAATAACTGGATGTCTTGCTTTTTAATTTTATTTTTTTAGAGACGTTGACTCTCTATGTGGAGTAGGCAGGACTGGAACTCCTGGGCTCAGGTGATCCTCCCGCCTCAGCCTCCTAAGTAGCTGCCACTACAGCTTCCCGCCACCTTCCCCATCTTGCTTTTTAATTTAAAGAAGGGTCTGCATATCATCTGAAGTCATCTCTCTTTGGGGACATCCCACATGTCCAGAACTGCCAGTCGGCAGTGGGGATGTCCCATTAGGCTGTGGGGAGCATGGAGACTTATCTGCAAAGGAGGACCTGGATAAATGTGCCCACACATCCTCTCAGGCGAGGAGAATGGACGGGAGAGAGAGGCCGACCCGTGTTCCCCCTGTTGCTGTGTACGGAGGAGGCGGTCCGAGGGACCGCGGTGTGGACAGGGACAGGCATGGCGTGGGCGAGGAGAAACGAAAGTCACATCGGTGGCTGCTGTTCTGCACAGAACTCGCTCGCTACCGCCCGCTCCCCGCTCCGCACTCAGCCGATCCGGGGACGGGAGCAGGAGGGCTGCACCCGGACTCCGGGACAGGCCCAGCTGAAAATGACTGGGCGAGGGGTGGGGTGGAGACGCCCACGACGCCAAAGCTGGGGTCCCGGAACTCGCGGGGAGGAGGGTGGAAGGCAACTTGGGAGAAACTGGGAAAGGTGCCCAGGACCTCGGGGACACCGCGCACAGCCGGGCGCACAGCCCCTCCTCCGCGAACCGGCGCCCAAGGGGCGGTCCCGCGGCGCGCCCCGAGCAGAGCTCAGTGGGTAGTGCTCCCGGCCCTTCTGCTGCGCACAGCCCAGCCCAGGATTGCGGGCGGCACAAACACAGCGGGGCGGGTGCAAGCAATGGGCAGGGCTTCTGCGCCCGGCCCCCTCGCGTGAACATAAAAGCTGCCGCAGGCTGTGGGGCTCCACCACGCCGTTCACCAGCGCCTGGCCATCTGCTCATTTGTCGCTTGAGATCTCCAGCCTTACCGTCGCTCGAAATGGACCCCAACTGCTCCTGCGCCACTGGTAAGAGAAGCCCGACTCTGTGTCCTGGGATTCCCGTTTCCCAGCCCCAGTACCGAAGGTCTCTGGGTTTTAGGAGGTCGCATTTTTAAGTTCTGAGCAGAAGGGGACTTTACTTCCTTAGGTGCGTTCTTGCTGATCACGCCCCTGAGAGCACTGCCCTCCCCAGTGGTCCTTAACTCTGGACCTCTAAGTCAGAGTTAAGGATACTGAGGCACAAGGCAGTCCTGCTCCACATCACCCAGTTGGTCAGGGTCCTGCTGTCTGGGCCCCAGTGTTCTCCTCCAGGCTCTGAGCAATCAGGGTGGATGGGGGGCTAGAGACATTGAGTCTTCAGGCTTCAGGACAGAAGGTTGTGGCTCGCAGTCTCAGTATTCCTGGGTGGGGTGTGCAGCTGGGACCTTCCTGGTGGGGTGAAACAGGAGGGTGCTTGCCCTTCCCAGCGTGAGTGGAGAGGACATGGGGTTCTGTTCCTCTGTCCTGAGTGGGAAAGGAGCTCTGAGGGCTGGCCCTGTGCAGAGGAGGGGGCACTGGAGACTCATTGACCCACTGCTGTACCTTCTGTATCTCACTCACTGCCCACTGCCTTTTTCTCTTCCTTGCAGGTGTCTCCTGCACGTGCGCCGGCTCCTGCAAATGCAAAGAGTGCAAATGCACCTCCTGCAAGAAGAGTGAGTGCGGGGCCATCTCCAGGAATCTGGGGCTGTGGCTAAGGTTGGGAGGGAACTCAAGGCTGGCCCTGAGTGCTTCCTTCTGGGGAACTGGGCTTCCTTTTGCCCCTGTTGGCCATGTCGTTCCCTCTCCATGCTTTCTGCCCTGAGTTCAGATGGGGCAGGGAAGCATTTATCTCTTGGGACACAACCCCCAACTGTACCCCCTATGGTTTCAGAGCAGAGCTGTGCCACACGAAAAAAGAATCCTCGGGGTCTGGCGTCTGAGCTCGAGCCATGCTTGCTATTGGGTCAGGGAGGTGCCTGGTCCAGTCTACTGCCACCTCTCACTCTCCCCTTCTTCTCCAGGCTGCTGCTCCTGCTGCCCCGTGGGCTGTGCCAAGTGTGCCCAGGGCTGTGTCTGCAAAGGGGCATCGGAGAAGTGCAACTGTTGTGCCTGATGTGGGGACAGCTCTGCTCCCAGTTGTAAATAGAGCAACCTGCATAACCTGGAAGTTTTTGTCGTTTTTAATATAACCCTGAGCCATTTTCTTTATTTCTTTTTATATTAAATATGTGAATGGCAATAAAAGGATTTTGACTTGAATCTTACTCTGTTCTTCTTTGTGTGTCTTGGAAAAAGTGGACTGGGGTGCGGGTTAAACCAGGAGTTTAGAGACCAGGCTCTGGATGGAAATGTGAGCCACTAATAATGTGAACACCTTCAGCCCAGCCAGGATACCTCACTGAGTTTACACTTCTGTAAAATGGGATTGCACTGTGCACACCATATGGGTGGGGACCACACACGATCGCTTCCAGTCTCATGCCAAATGTAGCACAGAAACTGCACCCCTCATTTTTCTTTTCTGATTTTCCTGCCCAACCTCAGATCCACATTGGATTTGAGGCTTAAAAGTGGCTACAGTGCTGGTACTCAACTCCCCAGTTCCTTTAATCCTTCAACGGTGCTCTGATTTGCATATTTTGTCACTGCCAAATCTCATGTTGAAATGTGACTTCCAATATTGCAGGTGAGGCCAAGTGGGAGCTTTTGAGGTCATGAGGACAGATCCCTAAAGAATGGCTTGGTGCCATCCCATAGTGAAGTGTCATCTCTTACTCTGGTAGGTCACTCCAGAGCTGGCTGTTTAAAAGAGCCAGGCACTGTCCCCTGCTCCCTCTTGCTCCCTGTCTCTCCATGTGATGTACCTGCTCCCCTTTGGTCTTCTGCCAGGATTGCAGGCTTCCTGCGGCCCTCATCAAAGGCAGATGCCTGCACCACACTCTGCACAGCCTGCAGAAGCAGAAATCAAAACAAACTTCTTTTCTTTATAAATTACCTAGTCTCAGGGATTCCATTAGAGCAATGCAAACAGGCTAGCACAATGGGGCTTTTCAAACACTTTCGTGAAGGACAGTTTTTATTTCCTGTCCATCACAGACCTAAATCTTGGTAAATATAATAGTATTGATTATGGAGATAATGAAATAAAACACCAAAAACAAAACCCATTTTTTAGATCCAATGGGAAAAAAATTCAATAAATCCATAAAGAAATAATAGGAAAATGAAAGATGTACAAACTTTGAGCATATGATGATGTGCATTGCAGACCGGAAATAGCACACTAGACCAGGTGTAGTGGCTCAGGCCTGTAAACCCAGCACTTTGGGAGGCCAAGGTAGGTGGATAACTTGAGCTTAGCAGTTAAAGACCAGTCTGGGCAACATGATGAAACGTCATCTTTACTAAAAATACAAAAAATAAATCGGGCATGATGGCATGCATCTGTAAACCCAGCCACTCTGGAGGCTGAGGCATAAGAGTTGCTTGAACCCCGGAGGCGGAGGTTGTGGTACACTACGATTGTGCCACTGCAGCCCAGCCTGGGCAACCGAGACTCTGTCCCAAAACAAGAAAAGAAAGCAAACAGCAAACTGGCCCCAGTGTGTGGCTCTCACACCTTGAGCAGCACTGCCCAGCACATCCCCACAAGGAACCATCAGGCTTGGTCTGCCCAGTGTCACTGACAGGACACTCGCTGACCCCTGAGAGCTCCCTGTTGTGACTTGGTTCTGAATCTTTGGAAATTCCTCCCAAACTCAGGCTGAATTTGTCCTTCTTTCAAATTTTAGCCCTTGACTACTTCTGACCAGTAAAGTGACTGGGAATATGGAAAGACATGCCTGGCATGTTCCTGGCAAAATGAAGTGTGTGTGATCATGGGTTCCACATGAAATGCTTCATGCCTGCCCATGCAGGAATGACAGTGGATTCTGCAGTTTGGAGGGTGTGGTGGTGCTCAGTAGGAAGAAGCGAGGCCTTGGCTGACTTGTAATTAAAGCCAACAATCAGTTTCCCTGGCTATGTGGAGGGAACGCTATTTGATGTTCAATCAAAGAGGAAGATGATCCTTCTGTCCTGGAGGTCAGGACCACGCTTGCCCACTGCTTCCCTGTGAAGAGGAGACTTCAGAAGGCAGCCTGCCCCTAGGGCACGGGTTTTGGGGTCAGGCAGTCCTGGTTCATAGCCCACCTCACCATGTACTGTCTGTGTGGCCTGAGTGCATCACTGAAACTCTCTGAGCCTCCAGATCCTTATTTGTAGAAAGCAGATTATATCTCAATGCAGGGATTACATGACAGCATAATCTGGCCCCTGGCTAGGGTTTAATAAACAGTAGCAATGATGATCATTCTCTCTACACTGCCTTTTTTAGAGAATGAAGCCTGTTAAATCCCAAAGCTAAGAGAAACCTTATGGGTTTGAAAGCACTGCTGTGAATTGGATGCTAGGAATGGGACTGCAACCTGGCTGACCCTGCCAGCAGTGTGGACGACCTTCTGCGGAAAGTGCTTTTCAATAAGATGCTGCCCCCACCTTTGAGCAGACATAAAATCTGTTCCCATCCTTCATGTCATCTGATCACATGACCTCAGGAACGAGAGCCACAGGCCTCTAGACTGGGACAGCAAATATGCAGGGCCTGGAGTGCTTATGTTGTTTTCCAGATTAGTTAAGTAACCTACCCAACGTCACATAGCTCAGATGTAAAGGGATGAATGAACCTATGCTACACCTGGCCTGTGGCCCTGGCCACGGCTGGTAGATTATGATGCCACTGGATGCTAAATCTTGCCTATCTCAGTTCAAAGATACAAAGACTGTTTGGGATGGATGAATGTTGCTCTTGGCTTGACAGATGAGAAGTGAAGCCCAGAGAGGCCACAGAGCTGTGCTTGACTGTACACAGAGTGCACCTACTATTGCTGCCTCTGTGCTAGATTTTCGGTGTCCTTATCTTTCATGTGACTTGCAGAGGGTGGTGGGTGAGTGTATGATGCTGCCGTCAGCATGGATAAGTGCAAATCCCACCTCTGTTACCTTTAGCTGCATGGCACAACTTCTCTGTGGTTCAGTCTCCTCCACTGTACAAGAGGTATAAGACTAACCTCTGGCTTATAGGATTAAAGGATTTAATACATATAAGGAACTTAGAATGGTACAAGGGGTGGGTGATCTACAATATTAGCTATTGCTTTTTTTGTTCATTTTATGGAGCATAGGTGATATTTATTTATTTGTACACAAAGGTCTGGAGGTGCTCAGCTGTGTATCTTGTTATTCTCATCTACCACACGAGTATGTCCTGTGGTCTAAAGAGAGCCATTCAGTGTTCCCACAAAATTGTAATCAACACTAGGGTTATAAAGCCATGAGGAAGATTCTTCGCTTCATATCAGATACAGAAGAATGACCGCCCTTTCTGTTACCACCTGCACCATCTTTTAGTTAATACTTTACGTTGAAATGATCAATACTTATTAAACATATTTTTAAGAAAAGCAAATTATTTTCAACCTGAGAAAATGAAATTCAGTCTTGTCTCACATATGAAAGATAGCCCCAAATTTTTGTGTGTGTGTGTATAAGTATGTGCGTGTTACACTTATGGATTGCTTTTGCCACTGTCCTTCATAAAGCTGGTAGCTTCCTGTTGTTTATTTGAGGGTTTTTGGGTTTTTTGTTTGTTTGTTTGTTTTTGATACAGAGTTTTACCCCAGTCAGCCAGCTGGAGTACAATGGCCCAACCTGCCACTTCTGCCTCCCAGGTTGAAGCGATTTTCCTGCCTAAGCCTCCCCAGTAGCTGGGATTACAGGTGACCGCTACCATGCCAGGATAATTTTTGTATTTTTAGTGGAGACAGGGTTTCGCTATGTTAGCCAGGCTGGTCTCGAACTCCTGATCTCAGGTGATTCATCCGCCTCGGCCTTCCTAAGTGCTGGGATTACAGGTGGGCGCCAAGGTGCCTGTCCCCTGTTGTTTAGAAGATTTCCAGCAATAGAGAAGTATTGACCACATACCTGGGCCAAAGGAAGGCTAGATCATAGGCACTTTCCTTTAAGAGGCTGGCTGGATTTAAATCAGTGCACAACTGTTTACCTCTGTGACTACCAGTCAGTTACTTGGACATTTCCTTTGTAGTCCCGTGATTAGCAAAACGGGTTCATAACTAGTATTTCCCTTTAAGATTGCTGTGAGGATTCAAAGAATGAAAGTGATTAGAAAGGGACTGGTGTAGACCCAATGTCATACAATAGTCAGTTATACTGAAGAGAAATAACTGGATGTCTTGCTTTTTAATTTTATTATTTTAGAGACATTGACTCCCTGTGTGGACTAGGCTGGACTCAAACTCCTGGGCTCAGGTGATCCTCCCGCCTCAGCCTCCTAAGTAGCTGCCACTACAGCTTCCCGCCACCTTCCCCATCTTGCTTTTTAATTTAAAGAAGGGTCTGCATATCATCTGAAGTCATCTCTCTTTGGGGACATCCCACATGTCCAGAACTGCCAGCCGGCAGTGGGGGTGGCCAGCTAGACTGTGGGGAGCATGGAGACTTATCTGCAAAGGAGGACCTGGACAAATGTGCCCCCACATCCTCTCAGGCGAGGAGAATGGACGGGAGAGATAGAGGACAACCCGTGTTCCCCCTGTTGCTGTGTACGGAGGAGCGGGTCTGAGGGACCTAGGTGTGCAAGGGGAGAGGCAAGGCGGGAGGCGAGGAGAAAAGAAAGCCACATCGGTGGCGGGTGCTCTACACACAACTCCCTGGCTACCGCCAGCTCCCCGCTCCGTACTCAGCCAGTCCCGGGACGGGAACAGGAGGGCTGCACCCAGACTCCGAGACAGGCCCAGCTGAAAACGGCGGGGCGAGAGGTGGGGTGGAGACGCCCGCAACGCCAAAGCTGGGGTCCCGGAAAGCGCGGGGAGGAGGGTGGAAGGCAACTTCGCGGAAACTGGGAAAGGCTGCCAGGACCTAGGGGACACCCCGTACCGCCGGACGCACAGCGCCTCCCGTGCGAACGGGCGACAAAGGAGCGGTCTCGCCGCGCGTCCCAGCGGAAGAGATGGTGCCCCCGGCCCTACTGCTGCGCACAGTCCAGCCCAGGACCGCGGGCTGCGCGAACCCAGAAGGGCGGGTGCAAGCGCGGGACAGGGCCTCTGCGCCCGGCCCCCTCCCGTGAGCCTAAAAGCAGCTGTAGGCTGTGGCGCTCCACCACGCCGTCCGCGTGCGCCTTGCAGTCTCTCCATTTCTCTCCTGAGAT